TAGAAATTATTACTCAAACTTCTATTTTATAAATATTTGTACCTTTATTTTTATCATTTATAAGCTTAATTATTTTTATTTTAACTTCTGAATCTTACCCTATTGTTTTTTTGGGCTTATTGCAATTTGCAACTTGCTTGCTGGCCACTTCTCACAGTTTGCTCGGAACCGGTACAAGTTAGCCCCAGAAGTCCGTACATGGCTAATGTTCGCCTTGTGACCTCAGACGCCACGTCCAAAATATAATTCCGACATCCAAAGTAGGCATAATAATCAGATGCGAGATGACTTCCACCGTTGGATACGTAGACTCTGCACAAACGCCTATATGCATACCACAACTGACCAAAGAATCAAATTCATTAATCCTTACTGCATGGTAGCCACGTGGCAAAGTCGAGATCTGTTGAGTAACGGAACCCAATCCAACGGTTGTCCTGCAGGATCTTGTCACGGAGCCGGAAGACAACGTGTCACCGACTCACCATCCGGGGTAAATCGAAAAAGTTGGACCTTTAACGTTAGCCGTTTCGTTAGTCCACCGAAGTGGGACCCACTCCCAATTCAATGGCCACAACGAACTGAATCCAAACAAAAGTATTTTATGTCGTTTTATATCGTAACGTACCGGGTGTCTAGCCTTGACACAGATATCGGTTTCAGGCTTAAGTGGGTGAGGCCCGTGAAGGAATTTTTTTTCCTTCTCTCTCTTCCTCTCTCTCTATTTGGACATATTTTCTGTTAAAAGAAGACAGCATCGGATTCCAGTATGCTAAATCTTCAGAATTTCTATTTATGGGAAAAATAACTGCTGCAATAAACGTGACACCTGGATTTGTCATTACTCATTAGTTAAACACCCAAATATTTAATTTACTTTTATGAAAATTGAAAATGGAGGCAAGCCAATTGATCCGGGTTGTCGGCCTGGTCCGAACGGTTTGCGCCAACTCGGCCGAGCTTGGTTCATCTAAATAACCCAGACCCAGCAAATAATTCCATGTAATTCCTATATATATATATATATTTATCCTTTTGGAGTTGTTTGGAAGGGTCATTATCACTTCACCCGGTCTGACCCCACAAAGCAAATCCCCAAAGTAAAAGAATGGTACTTAAACAGTGATGGATCACAACATTCAATAAATAAATGAAGGAACCTTAACCTCAGCTTTGCAATACTTGAGTCATAGCCACACAAAAGCTAGACAGGGTCGGCCCCCACCTTGAGTTTGAGTGGAATCCGATTCTCAATTTGTTTGGTTTGTTATAGAATTCTAGATGGATTAGGGTTCATGACTACCTAATTATCATATTTAATTTTCAATTTGAGGCAGAGAAAAGGGGGGGTTTTGTTAGAAATTATATAATTTAATCAACCTCAATGAATGTGACAAATTTGTTATGGGAACGTGGAGTCAATAAAGCAAGTGGAGCAATGATTTCAGCAGTCAAAAAGATTTCAAAAAAATAAAATAAAATAAATCTCTTTCAAGTTTGATTAGGTTTAACAGAAATTCAATGTCAAATCAACTTAACAAATTAAAGAAGCTTCAATCAGCCGAAGGAAGGGGAGGGAAAAAGACTGAGGACTGAGGAGAGTCACAACACTTAGAAAAGGATTTTTAATGTGTTGGGTGGGTGGGGTTTCCAAGTTAAAGAAAGGGAAAGAGAGTTCTTAAAAGCAGGTTAATTATAAAACACTTTGATTGAGCAAAACCAGTCAAGCACTTGGTTTCAATTATGAGTCTGGAATTGGGTTTCCGGTTTCATCACAGAAAAAAGCTGTTTTCAAGAATGAGCTCTGGACCGGATTCGGTAAGGCAGTGACCGGTTCAATTGGTTTTTTTATGGCTACACAATAGGGGTAGCCCATCCCCCAACCCATAACCCTATGAACCCAGGTGCAAGCAGGATTTGATCCCAAACCAGCAGGAGACCTTACCAATCAGCTGGTTGGCATCTTGCATGGTTCAATCGGTTAAACTAGTAAATGGGATTATGATGACAAACTGGTAAAATCTAAGCTATTCGTAGATCCTGACATCCCGTTCCTCAAAAAACAACATCGGTATTAGTAAATCAAATTAGTGCCAACATGTAAATAATTTAATTTAATTTAATTATAAAATGGTGTATTCAAACCCATGGTTCTGAAAACCAGATCAGACCAGATGGTTGGACACATTGGTTGATTCAGGAATTGATCATGGCTTTGGGGTCTAAAATTAAAACCATTTAATCAAGTTTTGGATCAGACAGTTCGACATGAGAATCGGTTGCTAAAATGGTTCCGTTTTAGATTAAATAGAATTCAAATATATCTATTTTTTTTTCTATCAACAGCATTTTCTCAGTTTATATTTAATTTTATCGATAAATTTTCTTTTTCTCAGTTTATTCATCTTCAAATTGAATCTTATAAATCCATTTGGATATGATCCTATCTGAATTCGATCCAATGTGTATCTAGACCTATTGTTTCTATGTTCATTTTCATATTAGGTTGTGTTTGGTTTGAAGGAAAAAGTAGAGAAAGGAAGGAAAATACTGGGAAACCTTTACAAACCTTGTATAGGTTTTCCTATTTTCCCTTCCTTTCCCTATTTTTTCCTTCAAACCAAACATAGCCTTAATGTAAATTCTAATTGCATATGATAGCACAAAATGACAAAACTGGCATGGATCTGAATTACTTTGGATAGTCTGCTTTTTATAGTTCAGGAAGCCATTTGATTAAACAACCAATCATACCTCTGATTTTTGGAAATTTCTCTTAGATGTCTAGATTATAAATTCAATACTAAATTAAGAGGTCATTTGGATGATTTTGCTCAAATTTGTCATTGACCTAAAAGGTCCTACATCTCTTGAATATTGTAATATAATATATGAAATGCATAATGTGATTTATTATACTTTATAATTTATTTTGTTATAAAATTGCTTATCAAAGGTTGGAGTTTTTCTTCTCTAAAACAAATAAAAAATAATAAAAAAATTGGGGTCGTAAGTTTTGGTATTTGGGTTCTTTTTCCAGGAGTCTAACTTGATTCTATTGAATCCTTGTTGGAGGAAAATAATTCTTCATGTTGGTATTTTTAGACTTTTTTTTGGTAGAATATATGGTATTTCTAGACTTCTAGCATCATATTGAATCCAGGTGTTATTATTATTGTTTCATGTTTTGTAATCAGTCTTTGTGTTTGTCTTCGGTGATGTTTGGCATCTTAGAATTTGCATCACATAGGATCTACATCATAATTTGAAAAAATAATGATTTTTTTTTTATTTGGTTGTCCAATTATGCCAATTTCTAGAAAATCAGTCAAAAATCGATTATTGGAATCAGCCCTTTTCAAGGATCACATTTTTTTGGTGATTTCCTGATTTTTAACTGATTTTGATTTTTTGAGGATCACATAGCATCTAACATGGCATTAAATAATGAATAATAACTCTAATACAAAAATAATCGACCCTTGAAAATCATTACCAAACAGGTTCAAAGCCGATTTCTCAAAAATCAGCTTACATGGCATAAATGATACCAAACAACATTTTTTGGTAAATTTTCAAAAATCATTGATTATAGAAATCGACGATTTCTGGATAATCGGCAAAGAAAAATCATCATCGATGCCAAACATTCACCTTCATTGCTGATTGTTTGTAATTCGACCATTTACCAATGAATTCTGCTTTTTTACACATGTTTTTTTTATATATTACTTAAAAAATGGGTTCTCGAAAACACCTATAAATAGGTGTATTGAAAGATCAAAAGATACCATACTTTGAACCTTGCCTTTCAATTTGATATACAAACACACCCTTCCTCTTTAAAGGAAAGTGCTGATATAATATTTTAACTTTTAAAATTTTTAAAATCCTGATTTTCACCCATGATAAGTTTTATTGAGAAATTATTTGACAATTTCTACATTTACTTCTTTTATTAACTTTTATAAATTTTGGATTAAATTTATTATTTATCCTGACAATCATAATACTGATTACTGAACTACTTCATTGCAATCAACTCTTAAAAGAAAAACTTATTTTTAATACAGCTCAAAATTCTATTACCAAAACCAATTTTGCTTTTAAAAGTCAAAGCTAAGATATATTTATTAATACCACTTTAGTCCCTAAACAAAATTCTGTCACCATCTGAAAAGTAAAGCATCAGTGAGATAAATTTGATTAATCCCCAATAGATTTTTTTTTTTGGTAATATCTTTTGGATTACCGGTTGAACAATCCGGTCCAGTTCCGGTCCAGTTGGTCTGGTCCAAAGTGACCTAAGATAAAGAAAAAAATTAAGACTAAACGCCATTAATGAATGACAAATTCAAAACAAAAAAATAAAAAACAAGATGAAGGGGGGACAGTTACTTGTGTTATTTTAAATACAAGGAACAAAATACATGTAAAGATTTTTTTTTTAAATAAAAAAATAGATGTAAAGATGGAGGATAGTATGATTCACAGTACTTTTCATAGCACATGACTCACACTATCTGACCCAAAACTGTCATTCCAAAATGCTCTTCAAGGCTGCTGTTTGGCGGTGACTTTAATCACTTTTTCCTCCATTTAGCACTAACTCAGTAACTCCACCTCCTCCCCATAACCCGAAGAAAGCAGAAAAGCAGAAAAGGAAAGAGAACTCCAAACTTTTTCTTCTTCTTTTTTCAGTTATTTTTGAAAACCCAAGGATTCATTAATACAAACAAGCAAATTTATTTCTTTTCCTGTCAAGGGCCCGAGGAACAAGCGGGGACATAAACAAGTATAAGGGAGTGAGTGGGAAACGTCTACCCACACGAGCGGTTTTTAAGTTGCATGCAAAGCAGACCAACCCACAGAGAGGGACAGAGAGAGAGAGATCAGTCTCAAAGTAAGGACCCTGACCTCGGAGAGAGAGTGGGGGAGAGAGAACCGTGTGGGTTTTTTCTTCCTTTCTGTTTTTGATTTTCATTTTTTTTTTTTTTTTTTTTTACAGGAGACCCATCTTCCTCGCTCTTTCTTTGTGTTTTTAAATGCGATTGTTTCCTCAAAGTCCTCTCAAATAACAGAACAGCGGATTGGAGAGAGGTCCCCCTTCTCCATTTCATGCACTAGAACAAACCCCACCAAGAGAAAAGGGGGTTAAACATTAGAAAGCTCTTTCTGATCCTCTGATCAACATCCCACTTTTGCGACTCTATCAGAGTTCAGCGGAACAGAGAAAAAAAAACCCAGTTGGTGTTGTTATTTTTATCTTGCGTTTCCAATCAAAATCTTTCTCTCTCTCTCTCTTTTTTTCTTGTTCCATAGCAGTGATTCAGAACTCAGGAGAAACCCAGTTGGGTCCTTGTGCTTCTTTTATCTCTGTTCACTCTTTTCTTAACTGGGCTTGTCTGGGTTTCTGTAGAAAATGAGCTTACAACACCTGCAATCAACTCTGTGTCAGAGGAGCGATGGTGAAGGTCTCAGAGCGTTTGCAGGGGCGAGTTTTCTCTCTCCACCTTCTCCACTTACTCTCCCTCTGAGAATCGGAGGCTCCACTAGCGAGGCGAAGAGTACTGCCATGGCTTTTCAGGTCTTAAACGATCCAATAGAGCTGCAGAAGAAAGAGTGGGGCTTCCAGCCCTTGGAGAGCAGGCGCATGAATGGAAGTGAGGGTGGCTGTAATGGGTATTTGGGGAATCAGAGCACCCGGGCTGAGGAGGAAGAAGGTGAGAACTTTGTCACAGGGAAGGATCATGAGAATGGGCAACAACCTAAGCTCTGTGCCAGAGGCCACTGGAGACCAGCTGAGGACGCTAAGCTCAAAGAGCTAGTCGCTCAATATGGTCCTCAGAACTGGAACTTGATCGCTGAGAAGCTTGAAGGAAGATCAGGTAATCTAAACTAAACATCCACCCAGAAAAGAAAACTATCTGAAGGTTCTGTATTTTGAAATTTCGAAAGAAGATCAGTGACATGAGAAAAAGAAACTGAAGTTAGTTCATTGAGAAGCTGATCAAGAATGGTTCCGATAACATTTTCAGTAGTTGTTATTGTTCAATCGCAGTGTTACAACAAAGAGAACATAGATTTTGTTTTCATTCCGCCCACATTTTTGGCTGTTTCCTTCATAGCATATATTCTTTTCTTTGATCGGTACTCATGTTGTTTTTTCTTTCCCGTTTAATTTCTTTCTTTATTTCCTCTTTACAGGAAAGAGCTGCAGACTGAGGTGGTTCAACCAGCTGGATCCAAGGATTAACAGGAGAGCTTTTACTGAGGAAGAAGAGGAGAGGCTCTTAGCCGCTCATAGACTATATGGGAACAAATGGGCTATGATAGCTAGGCTTTTTCCTGGTAGAACTGATAATGCAGTCAAGAACCATTGGCATGTAATCATGGCTAGGAGGCATAGAGAGCAATCCAGTGTTTACAGAAGGAGGAAGCCCTCTTCTTCTCCGGCTGCCCAAAAGAAGATTGAGATGACCAACCAAAACTATGCATGCAGTGACTCAACCATTACAAGCAACAGAGATGAATCGGCCTCAACCTGCACAGATCTCTCCCTCAATTCCTCTTCAACCAGAGTTACTACTAGTTTCTTCACCAGGATCAGTCCACACCAGAATCAGCGATCCTGTGAGTTCCAAATGGGCATTTTTATTTCTCCTTTCTTCCTATTCATGATAAAATGGGATCGAGGTCTTGATTTATTTATTTCTTACATGTTTTCTTTCGTTGTTTCACTCTTTTCAGTTCCATCTGAAGTCAATGTTGGTGGTTCTGTTAATGGCTTCTGTAACTATACGCCCAAGGGGATGAATATGAGTGTGGATCAATCTGGTTATTCAGATTCCAACTCTGAAATCTCAGCGACTGAATCAGTGGCCAATAACCATACAGGTGCCGGAGAGATTGATTACGGGAATGAGAACTTTAGCTTGCCCTTCATTGATTTCCTTGGAGTGGGAGCCACATAGAGTGGATTTTGGGGGCTGAAAACTTTTCCTGGGTTGTAGCAGCTGGGCTTAATTTCCTCCATAGAGCTGGAAAGAAGAGGGTTGGGGAGGTAATTTTACGGTTTCAATGTACAGATGTTCCAAAATGGAAAAGAAAACAAAGTAAAGGCAGAGAAAAGGATATCAGATGGGGGAGGGGAGATGGAAAAAAAATCTTTTTCATGAAAAGAAAAAAAAAAGTGCTCAAGTAGTTATGTTTCATTAACTATCCTACAGACTCACTTGTTTGGATTCATCTCCTTGTTTGTGATTTTCTTTCTCATGCTGTTAAAACAACCCAACTTCTCTTTGGTTAATGAAAGTATGAAACTGTCACCTTACTGCCACCTTTCTCCAGTAGTCCTTACTGCAAATTATAGTCTGGTTAGAGGATCCAGTGAACTAATCTGGTCTGGATTTTCTTGACCATGACCACATGCATTCAGAAAAGCATAAAGGTCTCTGCAGCTCTATGATTAATTTGTTTTCCATATTACAGTGTTAGGAAACAATTGTAGTTGTTTGATAACTGGCAAACCATCCATGGCCCTCTAGGTTTTTCTAAGCCAGAGAAGAGTAGTGAAGCCCTTGGGATGGTAGGGAGCCTCAGGAGAGGCTAATTGTTACCAATTTCTGAACGTTTGTTATGGGACTCCTGCTATAGTCTAACTTCGTGGCTGTGTTTGGTTTAGTAGAAAATAAGAAAGAAACAGAAAGTTGAGGAACGAATATCACAAGGTAGATGAAAGACCCAAAGACTGTAGCAAGTTACCATTGCTAGGATTCTATAGAACCTAGCAGTTAGCACAATCCCTTCTGGCTATCCTTGTTTCTATCCAAATAAGTTTCTAAGACATGTTTTGGTTTGTTGTGTTATTTCAAATCAATATATTTTTGTGTTTCATTTGTTTATATATTTTAACTATTGGGATTTTTTTATGCAAAGCAAAAATGGTTTTGAAAATTTTGATATTTCCATGACTCAAACCCCTGTAGATTCAGATTCATTCATGTAATTCTTATATTTGACTCTGGATCTCCTACCCACAAGAATTCTGCCCACGTTTATCCAGAACACACCATCTTTGTGCATTGGGAATATCTCCTCATGCGTAATACTATATGTAGGAGGATGAGATATTCCCCATGTGTGGTTGTTATGTAATACCCTATAGCTTGGGTACAACAAAGATATCCCCACTACTTTGCAACCACTTTATTTAATTTATCTTATGCAATGGCTTTTTTATTCCGAAAATACTTGTAAAAATATCATCTAACCCTTTTGGAAATAAACCCTCCCCTCACATTATTTTAATCAAAAAGATAAACAAAAATTGATAGAGAAACAACAATTAAAGCAAAAGTAAGGAAAGATATAACATAAAAAAGTTAGGTAAAATAGACAATGTTTTCTTTGTTTATCTTATTTATATTTTTCATTTTCTGCTTTATTCCTTTGTTGTCTATTCTAATTCGTTGTTTTGTATTCTTTTACCTTTTATTTTTATTTTTATTTCTGTTATTTCAAATGACATTTTGGTTTTTTCATTTCTTTTAATTATTTTGGTTAATCAGACGTTGGGATAAAAAATATGGTCTAAGAGAACCAACAATAAGTGAAGTAGTTGCGAACTAGAGGAGGTGCCTTAGTAACACACAAACCATAAGGGGTGCCTTAAATTGGAGTAGCTGTTTTAGATCAGCAGTCAGTCAGCAATTGCAAAGTAGAGGGGTGTCTTGGTAAATGACTCTTCATTGTAAACATGCTTAAATTTGATTAACTGTTTTGTTTCCCTTATAATATTGAATTTAAAGATCATTTGAGATTTAGGGTTTGACATAGGCATTTAAAATTGATTTCCATTTGAACTGAATTTCTGCATTTAAAGGATTGTAAAATTAAGGTTGTATATTGGAATGGAAAAAATATTATGTGGAGCTTCATCTTTACTACTATGTACTAAATTAAAGAGAAATATTAATGAATTTTTGTTAAACATTGGAAACGAGAGTTCGTATTAATCTATACTACTATAAAAACTGGAAATACCCCTCTTTTTGAATTTGTTTTTTTTTTTTTTTTTTACTTTTTGTTGTGAGTGCAAAAATTGTAATTTGAAAACCACCTTTTAGTTTATTTTATTCCCTCTCATTAGGTCCCATGTTTAATGTATTTACTCCCATTCTCTCTCACTCAATGCTATATTTAAGATATTTTTTTCTTTCTTAAATTCCAAAAATTAAATCCATAAACAATAAATTTAATAGTATAAAAACTTAGGTTTTTTTCTTAAAACTAACTTAAAAATGAAACTAATCTTTTTAAGTGGTAGGAAAGCAATTCAACCATTTGAGTCAAATATCTAATATTCTATATTCATCTTATTAAACACAAATAAGTGTGTAAATAAAAGGTATTATTATTAATGATGGTTATGGAACAAAAAATATTTAAAACTAACACAAAAATGAAACAATTTTCCTATTTGAGTGGTGGGTCAATAGTTCAACTATTCAGGTCAAATGGGTCAACCAATGATATTGTAGTTAAATAATAATTTTAAAAGAATAGCAAACAATACAAAGAATTACGATAATATATAAAAATTTAGAGACATCTCTAATATCATATGTTATTCATCATCATCATCCAAGCCTAATCACAACTATATGGGTTGGCTAGACAAACCTGTTTTGCCATTTCCTTTTGTTTAACGTCATATCAATTGCTAAATTATTAGCACTTAAATCATCACCTCTTGCTACTTCAAACCAAGTCCTTTTTTGGTCTACACTTGCCCCTTTTGTCCTCTCAACTTGCAACTTCATATATATTAAACAAAAGGGTAAAATATAGAGAACTACCTTGTTCGTACTTTAGGGGTAATGACACTTAGGTCCTCAAACTTTCATTTGTGACAAAGAACTACTTTGTACTTTCAAATTCTAACACTTTCATTCTATTGTTAGCACTCCATCGATTTTGAACTTTGATGAGACCATTTTACTCTCTCCTTTATTACTTCTTCAGAACCCAAGATTTGAAACTTTCTATCTTTTTATCTACTTTTCTTTTCATTAAATATAGAGATGAAAAAGAGTTTAAAGAGGTAACACACCCACCATAAAGTTTAAAACCTAAGTTTTAAAGATGTATTAAGCAGAGGGCAAAATGGTCTCATAAAAGTTCAAAATTATTGAGTGCTAATGGTCATAATAGAACATTGGAATATGAAAGTATTGGGTACCTCTATGTCACAAAGGAAAGTTTGGGGAACCTAAGTGTCGCTATCCCCAAAGAATAGGATAATTCATTGTATTTTAACCTAAACAAAAGTAAGTTTGCTAAATAAAAACTCTTTTTGTTAGCGATGAAAATAGAATACAAAATTTAAAATTGATCTAAAAGCATAATAGTTTTTCCATCTAGGTGGTGGGTTATTGATCCAATGGTCTAGGTTAAATGGGTAAATACATGATGTCACAATTAAGTAATAATTGTTTTAATATAGGTAGAAATACAATAACTTGTAAAAGAGCACTGAAATTTTGTAGAAAATATAGGCACATCTCTAATATTATATATTTATCATATTAAATAATATATGTGATAAATAAAAACTTTTTATTAGTGATGGAAATGAAAATGTGATAAATAAATTAGAGAATAAGAGAATTAATGTCTAACCCTATTGGACAATGTACGCCCTCAATATCTAGCATGAGATGTATCTTGTATTTATTATGAATAAAATGTCAATTTATGTTTTGTTACTTATATCATTTGATATGTTTCTATGCAAAAGCCATTGTTGTGTATTTTAGGATTAAGACCTGAGACATCATCTTCAGCATACAAACCAAATATGTTCTTATAAAATTCTAACGAGACTAACGTACTTGTATTGCCTAAGGAGAGAGTGTGTCTTAACTATCAAGGTTAGATCCAAGGTACAAAGTACAAAGTATATATGGGTGCTTGAGAAACATCAAACTAAACCATTTCTAGATAACCCTTGGTCTTTGTGATTGGTAGGGAATCTAGGTTTTTGCATGTAATCCTTGGGCCTGATATTACCCATTAACTAGTTTCAAGAATTACCTATTTTTGATGTGCCAAGTAGTGAGATTCTGAATCAATACTTGGGTATGTTGGAACAATAATAAAGGAATCTAAGCAAGTGACTGTTGTGAAGGAGCCTATCTCTTTGTTAGACAAAATGAATATCTAAGTAGATATCCTTTTTGATGAGAGGTCAGAAATTGGCACTAATGGTTTCAAATGATGTTTGGAAGAGTTTTGCAAAATCATACTATTTAGATAAATAATTTGTTTTTGAAAATTCAATTTTATTTCTCAGGATTCTAATCTAGAAAGAGGACATGTCACTATACACAAAAAATTATTGAATAAGTCCTTCCATATTGAAGTTATGGATACTACAAATTGCAAGTATCTATTCGGGCCTAATAACTTGTTGTATGCATTCATCTTTGGGCCAATTGATTTGGGATTTGAGGATGGAAAAACCCAGGTAATATTAATGCTATTAATGGGCTTAAGTAAAGCCCATACAACTGGGATTGATTGCCCTATTAAAGTGGCAAATTGATTCCTAGTGTGTCCTCAATGAGTTGGATTCAATCAAACGATGTTGGAGATCCTTTTAAAATGGATTAGAGCTAGATTCTAGTGGGTCCCATGCATAACCAAAGAGAGGGAACTTACTTTTATGGGTAACAATAGGAATTGGAAAGATTGGGTTTATTGATCCTGTATTTTAATGATAACAAACTTATTAAGATTACTATTACAATACGTTAAGTCTGCAACTATGCCAAGTAACTTCTCAATGAGCTAAAATGTTTGTCAATTCATTATGAAGATGAATGCTACCAAGAAGATGAATGCTACCAAGATTTTTGGCAACTATTTATCAACCGATCACTCTTCAAAGAAGATGAATGCTACCAAGAAGAAAATAAGAAAAAGGAAGGAGCATCAAGCTTCGGTGCTTTATTATGTCATTTTCTTAGGACTTGATGTAAACATTTTCAAAAGGATTCACACTATGGCCTCTCACTAACTAAACTCAGTTGACCTAATCTTAGAATCCAATGGCTAGAATCAGGTTTGGTTCTTAGGTATTACTGAAACAAGGACTTAAAAAGTAAAAATCTAATTTTGGAACCCTAAAGAAGTGATTTCTAGACATCTAGAATCAAAATATTAGTTTCTAAGGTTGAGAGCTGTTAGTAATCGACTACCCATGAAGCTATAGTCGACTACCTTTGACAGTAGAGACTTGTTGTTAGATAGTATATGCCCTTAGTTCCAAACAAA